AACCCTTGTTACAGCTATGAATTGCAAATACCTTCTCCCATTAGGTTGGTTGACTATTTCTCTTGTGACAGATTTCTTCCCTTGTAATAAACTTATCTGCCATTATTTATAAGGTAGTTCTGACCTAATTAAATGAGTTTTCAGGTGTCCTCTCCTCCTCATTCTTTTAAAATATATTTTTATTGATTTTTTAAAGAGGAAGACAGAGGGAGAGAGATAGAAACATCAATGATGAGAGAGAATCATCGATTGGCTGCCTCCTGCACCTCCCCCGCACCCCCAATAAGGATCAAGCACATAACCCAGGCTTGTGCTGTTCATCAGAATTGACCCTGGGACTATTCAGTCCACAGGCCTACGCTCTATCCAGTGGGCCAAACCAGCCAGGTCTTTTCCCTTATTTTTTTAAGAAGAGTTTAGAAAGAGTTGGTCTTGATTATGTAAATGTTTGGCAGAATTTGCATTTGGCCCCATGGTTTGTTGTGTTTAGCAGTTTTTCTTATCAACTCAATCTCCTTACTTATAGGTCTGTTCAAATTTTATATTTCTTTATTATCATCCAAGGGAGGTTGTATATTTCTAAAAATATATCCATTCTTCTAGGTTACCCAATGTTCAGAGTACTATCTCATGATTCTTGTGTTTTGTTCATTTATAAAAACACAAAGATACTTGCTGTCTCTTGACTATACAGCTTGAATTTATAATAGTACAGTTAATAAAACATTGAATTATAATTTCCCCACTTATTCTTTTTTTATTCTTTGTATTTCGGTGGTAATAGTTTAAATGTCTCATTTTTTAATTCTGCTTTTATTTGCATCTTTATTTTCCTTAGTGACTCTAGCTAAATATTTGTCAATTTTGTTTTGTTTTGTTTTCCAAAAAGTCAGGTACTGATTTAATTTTTTTTTAATATATTTTATTGATTTTTTTTACAGAGAGATTGAGAGCTAGAAACGTCGATGAGAGAGAAACATCGACCAGCTGCCTCCTGCACACCCGCTACCGGGGATGTGCCCACAACCAATGTACATGCCCTTGACTGGAATCAAACCTGGGACCCTTCAGTTCGCAAACTGACGCTCTACCACTGAGTCAAACCAGCTTTGGCTGATTTAATTTTTTTCTATTTCAATTATTTATTCTCTGGTGTTTGTTTTTCTTCCTACTGCTAAGTTTGAGCTTAGTTTCTTCTTCTTTTTCTAGTTTTTGGAGGGAAGTGTTACTAGTAAGTTAGGTTGTTTAAAGTTTTTTCTATTTTCCTGATGTATGTATTTATCACTATAAACTCTCCTCTCTGAAGTGCTTTTGATGCATCCCATTGATTTGAATTATGTTGAGTTTTCATTTTCATTTGTTTTAAAATGTTTTTATCTCCTTTGGATTTTTCTTTGACCCATTGGTTGTTCAGGAATATGTTGCTTAGATTTGCCTTCTAACCTATGATCTATCCTGGAGAGTATTCTGAGTGCACTTATAAGGAATATGCATGCAACTGCATGGAAAGTTACATAACTGTTTATTTGGTTCATTCTCAAACCTATGAGTCAAATCCAATGTTATTTCTGATTTTCTGTCAGGATGGCTTATCCATTACTTACAGAGCAGTATTGAAGTCCACTATTACTATGTGGTTGTATACTTCTCACTTTGATTCTGTTAGTGTTTGCTTAATATATTTAGGTGCTCTGAAGTTGGGTGCACATATACATTTATGACTACTATATCTTCTTGATAAATTGACCCTTTTAGCATTATATATTAACCTTATTCGTCTCTTACAGCTCTTTTTGGATTACAGTCCATTTTAACCTGAAGTAAGTATAGTCACCACCACTTTATTTTGGTTTCTACTTGCCTCAGATATTTTCCTATTCATCTGTGTTGAGTCTATGTATCTCCTTAAGGATAAAATAAGTATCTTGAAAGAAAGCCACCATAACATTTCAGCATTGTGTGTTTCAGAGAGTTTATAGGTTGATGAGTACAACCCTCTCCTGGGAGGAAGGTGCACTACAACTCCACCAGGACAAGGCCCCTGCCCTCAGGACCCTCACAAACTCCACCATATGTGTCTCTTCATCTGTACCCTTTATCACATTCTTTAATAAACTGGTAAACATGCGAACTATTTCCTTGAGTTCTGTGACCCACTCTTGATATGTAATGGAGCCTGAAAAGAGGGTTGTGGGAATACTGATTTGTAGTCAAGATGGACTGAAGTTGTGAGTACCCAGGGGACCTGCACCTCGGGACTGGAATCTGAAGGTGGGACTGAGCCCTTTGCCAGTCGGATGGGACTCGATTCAGGTGGACAGTGTCAGAATGAGTTCTACTGTAGGCCACCCTGCTGGTGTTGTGGACTTGCCCATTGAAGGGAAAACACCACACAACTGGTGTTAAAACAAAGGAAGACTGGATTGTTATTCCTGGGTTACCCGAAATGTCTTCCACTTCTCCCTCTCTTTCTTCTTGGCAAGGATCTCCCACCAGATTTTAGAAGAGGCAGCTGGAAGGAATTATCAAGGGGAAATGCCAGGCAGATGGACATTTATTTTTAGCAAACACTCCTCACAAAAACAAGCATTTCCCAGAATAGATCTAAGAATGAGAAATGAAACTGAAAGTCTTTTGTCTATTTTGGGCTTTGTCCTTAGTAAGCAGAGGCACAGTGGTGGAATGAACTCTTCTGTGAATCTGATTTTGAGGCTATAGGCAATTCAAACAACGTTTGCTATTTTATCACATACAGAAAATGTGTTCAAATGTGACAGACTCCGAGGCAGTTCAGGCACGGACGCTATCATCTGTAGATTCCTAGTGTTGCCAAAGGCAGGTTTGGCTGCCTGCTGTGATGAAAGCCAATACTCATGAAACAGGTGTTGGTAAGTTCAGATGCTGGCTTCCTGAGAAGATGGCTGATTCCTGTCTGAAAAACGAACTTTACATCTCTGGTGAAGCTGGTGGCTTTCATAAGGAGAGGAAAGGGAAGTGGGAGCATGCAGGCAGTGTTCTTCCTGGTTATGGTAAAGATCTTAGTGTCATTGCCAAAATCGGTTTGGCTCAGTAGAAAGAGAGTCGGCCTGCAGACTGAAAGGTCACAGGTTCGATTCCGGTCAAGGACATGTACCTTGGTTGCAGGCACATCCCCAGTACGGGGTGTGCAAGAGGCAGCTAATCGATGACTCTCTCATCGATGTTTCTAACTCTCTATCCCTCTCTCTTCCCCTCTGTAAAAAATCAATAAAATATATATTTTTTTAAAAAGATCTTAATGTCATCAAGTTGAATCGATCTGCATCAGCCTAATTTCTGTCATCTTTAATCTCCTATATGGACAGGAACAGAAATGGTTGGTCCCTGCCATGTACTAAAATAGAAGCTAAAATACAGATTGCTAGCAGAAATAATCGGCTTCCTCTTTTTGTTCCAAGAAACATGTTAATTTGTTAATTCATATTTAATTCTGGTTAGTACAATATTGAATAAATATTTTATGCTTTATATTCTCTGTTACAATATCATCACAATAGATGAGCTATAAACATGATATAAGGCACAGCCTATGAGTGGGAAATAAAGGTCCCAAGAACCATTAAGATGGTGGCTCTCATATAAAAAATCTCAAATATTTGAATTAAACAACTCATGAAACATTGCACTTGTAAACATTCCCCTTGATACATCTTCTTTTCATAGATTTGAACTTCAAACCAATTATGCCAGAAAGAAAAATCTGAATTTGAATCATTATTTCAGGCTAAGCTTGTTATCCCCTTTAATGTTATGTGAGGTAGGTAGTACTACTGGCAAAAATTCATTCCACCACTCAGCTGTTCTCATTACATGGGTTGCAGTTCCCATTCACAAGACCTAAGTAAATATAACTAGTACCTCTTGGATGCTGGGTTCAAATCTGTCCTGACTGGCATTTCAACTACTGCCTATTAGAAAACACCAATGCCTCTAGGGAATATAATCTATAATATTGCAATAACTATGTATGGTGCCAGGTGGGTACTTAAATTACCAGGGAAATAATTTCCTAAACTATGTAATTGTCCAACCACAATGCTGTGTACCAGAAACTAAAATAAAATAGTATTTAAAACCACTGTAACTGAAAACTGAAACTTAAAATAAAGAAAATACCAATGCTCCTATCTAAGGGAAAGACTAGGAAGAGAGATGTGGGTAGAATTTCTGGAGGAACTGAAAAGAATGTGTATGAAGTTCCCTGAAGAATACCTGTGTATTGAATCACAAAAGTTTGAAATAAAAAGAACATTATGATAGGGAGCACCGGTCTGCAATCAATATTATAATGCATCATATTCAGGAAACATGATAAAGCAAAATGCTTTACATGGGTTTAAGTCTGAGGATCAACTGTCAGAAATATCATTACTAGAAAACTCTAATATGAAGGATACAACATAGCAAAATTCTCTTTTTCTCTCCATAAACACAAAATATGCTCTTTAGATTTTTATACAACACACCATTAAGAGCTTAGCACACTTTGGAGTTGGATGATCCAAATCAGGTAATATAATATTGAAAGAGTTGATCATTTTCAAACTAACTATTTCTGGAAAACAGAGTTTCAAGACTGGAAACTAATTGTAGCATAAAAGTCCTTTACGAAAATAAAAACTAACAGATTTCATTAGCATGGGAGCGTGCTTCTCCCTTTGTCCTTAGGTTACAGGAGAATTATTGATAGAACAGCAAAGCTGAGGAAATCCCTGATCTGCAAAATGTACTTATGCCTTCTCCCAAATTCTATCTCTATCCTGCTTGCGATGGGTGTTTTCAATCTTGTATTCACCCTAACCCTCACTGGCTCTCTCTCTCTCACACACACACACAATTAATTAGTCTTCTAATTACAGTAATTTTAAAAGAGTTGCAATAAAATAAACAGAATTCCTTCTAGTCAGCTGATTTTAAAAAAGAAAATAACAAGCAGCAAAACCAAAAGTGAAACCACTCTTTTACATCCTTCTTGGGGTATAAATTCAGAGCCTCCAGCACAGCCAGAGCCTAAGTCTCAGCTGGAAGTCAGAGTCTGCAGTTTACAGGGCTCTGCAAAGGACTTCCTCTCCATGCAGACCTCTCTGGAGAGATCTGAAGACAGGAGCTGACCTCAAGGACACAGGTAAGTGAAGAAGGAGGGAAATGGGGTGGACAAAGACAGACTCAAACTAAAATAGAAACAAAAATGTATGGAAATAGCCATAGGGAGCAGTTAGAGAAACAGCAGATTAAAACATGCTAGAACACTGCATGAATCTGGCAGTCATTGTTCCAAAACACATACAGAAAAAAACACTCCCAATCAGGGTAAAAGGAGTAAACTATTCAACAGGCAATGAAACAATTTGGCAATCTGTATTACCCAATAAAAATAATCTAGACCAGTCAAAAGAGACTTTATTTGACAGGATTATTGCAGTAAGGGAAGGAGACTATTGAGGTGTAGAAAACAACCCAGCCATAGAGCTGCTAGCATCTCACAGGCCGCGAAGAAAGGAACTGTCTTCACAGGGAAGAGCAACAAGGTTCTGCTGGAGAGAACAGGGGTGCAGGGAGTGGGGCAATCAGGGGACGTTTTCCCCTGAGGTTTGCTGACTCTTAGGCAGGATCTATAAAGAAGGGTTGTTGACTGGATCTGCAGGAAAGTGGGTCATAGTTCAGGGGACCAAAGAGGAGGGAAACTGAATTAAGGTTTACTTACAAGAGGTTTATTCTGATTGACCAGTGGAGGCAAAGAGCTCAGTTCATCTTTATTGAGACAAAAATAATAACTAAATGATCTGCGCCTAGCCTCATTACAAGTGAAAAGGGACATTAGTGAGTTTTATCTCTAAATCATATGGAGCAGGGTGCTTCTGTGCAGTAAGCCATGTGTTAGGGGAAATCCCCAAAGTCTAAATTCATGTTTGATTCTGAAGAACTGACCTGCAGCCTTATTCAAATTCATTAGAGTTTTAATAGGAGAAGCTCACATCCCCGGGCAAAGCAGCTGCTTGCTCCCAGTGGTGGCCGGCAGGGACTAAATCCACACCCTCCAAGAGCAGGTCTCTTCTCTATAGGGGTTAACAGGGAAAGCATATGGTGGGTAGTCACATAGATCACCAGAAAGAACAATGCATTTCCCTATTAATAGCTAACATCCACACTCATTAACCTCCTTCCTGGGGACATGACCTTTACCTCTCGGTGGCATTCCAGCTTTCTGGTTCATCAGCAAACCTGAGGCTACAGAGTTAAACACGGACAGGTTAAACAAAGAGCCCTACATTTTCCAGACCCTTTACTGATAGAGTCATATGACACCCTGCTTCTTCCCTTCCAGTTTTGTTTACTGGTCTAATAATCAAATTGACATAAAACACATTAACTGGTGAAAACCAAATATAATTACTTATATACAGAAGCCCTCAAAACACATGAAAAATCAAAGGTAGTCAGGTAATTAAGGCTCATACACCATCCTGAGCTAAGGAGAAGGGTGCAGGAGTCTGGAGCTTCAAGGGGGAGAAAAACAATTGACAGACTGATAAGAGAAAATGTTGGGTGAAAAATGTTTGCTGTACCAGGCAGATAAGCTCTTTTTTTAATATATAAAGTTATCTCTGGCCCTAATCAGTTTGGCTCAGTGGATAGAGAATCGGCCTGCTGACTAAAGGGTCCCAGATTTGATTCCAGTCAAGGGCATGCACTTTGGTTGCAGGCATATTCCCAGTAGGGGGTGTGCAGGAGGCAGCTGATCAATGTTTCTCTCTCATTGATATTTCTATCGCTCTATCTCCCTCCCTATATCTCTGTAAAAAATAAATAAAAATATATTCTAAAAAATAGCTATCTCTGGAGACAGCTCTCTTCCTGGTATAGGCCCTCTATGTGAAAAAAATATAAATAAATAAAAATTAAATTAGCATTTAAGAGAGAAGTTAAAAGCTTTTCCTGAGTCTTAATTTCCTTTAGCTCAAAACAATCCACTTGCCAAATTGGCACATGTATTCCGTATTCCCTCAATATACAGAATTAATACAACTGTGAGGTTGAGGAAGGATGGCAGAGTATAGATTCTAAGAGAAGAAATTAAGCTAGAAAGTAGGAAGAGGAAAAAGAGTGGCTGTGGAAGGAACTGGGTTGTGGCCAGATTATGAGAAGTCTTGCCGAGGCCGGTTTGGCTCAGTGGTAGAGCGTTGGTTCGATTCCGGTCAAGGGCATGTACATTGGTTGCGGGCACATCCCCAGTAGGGGGTGTGCAAGAAGCAGCTGGTCGATGTTTCTCTCTCGTTGACGTTTACCTCTCAATCTCTCTCCCTTCCTCTCTGTAAAAAATCAATAAAAAAATATTAAAAAAAAAAAAAAGAAGCCTTGAAGGCCATGGCCAGGTAATATGATCATATCCTAAAACAATGAGGAGTTTTCAAAAATTTGTAAGCAAATGATTTAAATATGAGTTTCAGGATGCAATGTCCATGATGAACTACAATAGGGAGAAAAGTAACAGATTCAACAGCTTTTCATACAAATAAGTCAAATAAATAGGATAAACTAATGCCTAATCCTATACAATAAAAGCATAATATGTAAATCGACCAAATGGCCGAACAGTGGAACAACCATCTGGACACCATCCAGGTCCTCGCAATGACACACATTGGAGCCAGGCCAGCCAAGTCGGGTACAATGCCATTGGTCACGGGCGCAGCCATCTCCCCATGATTGCCCTGCAGAGGGAGGCTGAAATCACTGGCCAGAAGGGTGATCAGTCAGGGGGCTCTGCAATTGCTCAAAGAGGGAAGCCCAAGAGTGTGATGGCAGAAGTTGTCAGCATCAGGCCAAGGGGGTGCACAGGCAGGGGCAAGGCCACAGGGCTACGAGGCAGCTGGGGCTGCAAAGGGCTTAACCTTGCAGAATTTCTGGCCTTAAACTGTTAGTGTTTTTTATCTTTTTCCTTTTTTATTAAGGTATTATATGTGTACATATCTTACCATTTCCGACCCCTACCCTACTCCCATGCATTCCCTCACCCCCTAGAGTTTTGCATCCATTGGTTTTGCTTATATGCAGGGCTGCTAGTGTTTAATAAGTATCCTACAGTAACCACATTTTAGAGGAAGAAATAAGAAGACTGAGATTCCATGATATACAAGGTGCCCACATCACCATTTCTCCCACCAGAAGTGGATGGATACCCCAAAATGGCTAGAGCCAGGAAGTTTGGATGAATTTGTAATTCAATAAACCATTCTACATACTTAATCCAACACGGACAAAGAGCATCTCCAAACTCAAAGGGAATAATAATGTTCCTGGACAGGAAGGGACCTGGATGGCCTGGAGCAGGTCTGCCTCAGGCCAGCCTGTAGTGTGTGGGTTCTTGACTTTGTATAGAAAAGATTTCACAACATGAGTCCAGGTGATTTTCTGAGTATATTTATGAAAGCTGAGGACTGTGAAACATAGGAAGAACTTAGGGTAGGCTGTGCAATGCTTCAGATTCTTAGAAACATAGGAAAAAAGTGAGCCAAGGCAGCTGCTCTTAGCTCACTGGGAAGTCAGAGGAAAGGGGGCCTTAGAGATGGAATCAGGGGGTCAGCCCAGGACAAGCTGGCACTGCCTTATTCCCTCCTGGTTGTAAGTCCCATGGGGACCCCTTAGAGGTTAAGGGGAAGGGACATGGGCATGTTCTAGTCTAGAGTGAACCCACAGTGAGTCTTTGTCCTGAGGACATTTCTCTCTCTCTTTTTTTTTGTCCAAGGGCAAGAATCTTAAGGGAGGGTTTCAGCAGATTATTCATCAACTTTCTAGGTGCAATTTTAATGTGCTGATGCATCAAAATGAAGGTATAGGGGAATTTGGGATAATTCCTTGGTCTCCTTTACTGTTTTATTTTTATCCTGGGTCTGTCTGGCTTTAACGGTTTATTTTTGTTTTTGTTTTTTTGTTTTGTTTTGTTTTTTTATTCCCCTAACTTCATTTGTCCTTGGGTTTAGCTTGCACATTAATTGGGTCTCTGTTCTCTATTTCCCAGATGAGGGTGATTTAATCTCTGAATTCCCTGGTTAGGGAGGTGAGGTATACACCATTTGCTTTCAAGTGACCATGATTTGGGAAGATAAGCTCTTGTGGTTCACAGGCTTGCTGAACATTATTCAAATTGTTTGTCATCATTTAATTTCCTTGTCTCACTTCCCCAGGAATTTTCTTAGCTTCTTACTATCCTGCCGCAATAGATAGCATCTAGGATAGAAGACAGAGATACTGAGGTAAGTGAAAAATTTTTTTTAACTTTTTTATTTTAATATAATTGACATAAAACATTGTTAGTTTCTATTGTACAACACAATGATTTCACATAGGTGTGTAACAAAATGATCACCACAATGTCTACTTAATGTCCACCACCACACACAGTTGCAACCTTTTTTTCCTGTGATGAGATCTTTTAAGGTTTTACTCTCTTAGCAACTTTGAAATATATAATATGGAATTAACAACTAGAGTCACCATGCTGTACAATACATCTTCAGGGCTCATTTGTTTTATAACTGTTATTATCTTTAGACCTTCTTTTTACCTATTTGATCCCCACACTCCCACCCCTAGAACCTACCAATCTGTTCTCTGTGATTTCCCTTGTTTTTGTTTCTGTTTGTTTGGTTTTAATTTTCACATAGAAGTGAGATCATACCTGTTCTTCCTTCACTGACTTACCTCACTTAACATAATACCTTCAAGATTCATTTATATTGTTAAATGGCAAGATTTCCTTCTTTTTTATGGTGGAATAACATTCCATTTTCTGTATCCGTTTAGCTATCAAAGGACTTTCGGGTTGTTTCCTTGTATTGGCTATTGAAAAGAATACTGTAATGAAATGGGGGTGCCAGTCTTTCTAAGTTAGCATTTTCATTTCCTTCAGATGTTTATCCAGAAAAAAGTGGGAATGCTAGATAATCCAATTTAATAGACACTGGAAAAGGTTGGACATGGCAAGAAGAATCTAAATCAGCTCATGATTAGCACCAGAGTCACAACTCCTCATTCACATATTCTCTAACCACTCTCCTTCCTACTACCTGCTTATTTCTTTCTTAGCACATAATACAATCTGAAGTTATTTTGCTTATTCGAGTATTTACTGGTTTATGGTTTGTTTACTCCCACTCGCAAAGGGCAGGGGTCTAACCTATCTTATTCAATTATCCTACAGCACCTAGAGTATTCCCCACCTTGCTGACACCCCTCAATAAATATGTGTGGAATAAAGGCTGGTATTTTAAACATATCTTTGCTAACCCTCAGATCCATAGTACTAATTTGGTCTCTTTTGTTTAGAAGCACATCATCATGATAGGTACAAAAAAACACAGGGAGTTAACACAGAGAAGGTCCCTAGATTTATCAGGATGAAAAGGTTGGAGTGGTTTTCTGGACTGGGAAAGTATAGTATGAGTATCAGGTTTACAAAGAATTTTTCTTTAAAATATGAGAGCAGAACTGAGAAAAGAGAATAAGTGCGCAGGATACATTCATTGGTTCATTTTCACAACAAACAT